AATGATCTTTATATGAATCACTCTAAAACTACATTTGTGGTGTTTTCAGCCGCACAGAACACATTTCCCTCACCAGTTTCCGTATCTCTTAACAACCATATTATTTCTGTATCGGATCATGTGAAGTTCTTAGGCGTAATACTAGACAAGCATTTGAAATATAACTATCATGTACTCTCAATATTAAAAAAAGCTTCTTTTGGCATTCATGTTCTCATTAAAGCCCACCCTTATTTTCAGTCACGCATTATTTTATCATTATACTGTGCATATATTCGTAGCCATCTTTCCTATTGCATTTCATCCTGGGATAATACATATACCAGTCACCTGGAGCCCCTTCTACATCTTCAGAAACGGGCACTACGTCTGATCGATTTCGCTCCATTTTATTCGCCTTCTACGCCACTCTTTATTTATTTTTCCGTGCTTCCAATTATTCTTTTATTCACTCTAAAGTTAGCTATATTGATGTACCGCCTCATTTATCATGGTCTATGTGTTTCAGGGCTATCCACACAACATCTTGTCAATACTAATAACACCAGGTTTTCAGCCTGTCACAATTTCCTTCTCCCTAAAGTGCGTAGCAATTATGAAAAACTAACTCTTAAATTTACAGGTGTATCCGTATAGAACAACATACCACTTGAAATAAAGTTATGTCCCACATTTTATTCGTTTCGCAATATGTTTAAAGAGTACCTAATCAGAAAACGTGTTTTCTAAACTCTTCCGTCGTGCCTTACTCCTAATTTTAGTATTTCTTTTACTCACTATACCACTTGCTGTTACACAGAAATTTTCTTGCCTTGTTGTTATGAAATTTTAACCATTCTTTGTTTAATTCGTACACAGTGTTTTTCACTGCTTGCTGCATTGTTATTGCACTTGACTTATTCTCTAACGGAGGTCTCCCCGACAGTTTTCTAACTTCGGGACCTCCTCTGTACTGTAGAATTTTAGTCATGTAAATGTATGCATTCCTGAAATAAAGTTTGATTGATTTGATTTGATTTGATTTGAAGAACTGCGTTGCGTCGCAAAAGGAATAGCTGTGCTGCGACGAGGGAACGCCAAAGTGATGCTCACTAACTTCAGCAACGAGTACAAGCACGTGAGCAAAGCCATGACATTTGCCTACATCGAAGAGATATTAGAAACCACCAACGCTTTCGCTCTTACCATTTCTGCGAAATCTACACAGACTACTCAAGCCCTTCAACCAGCTTTCAATGCTAATCCAAGTCTTTAGACGCATAAACAAGAACAGCTCAGTAACCTGCTCATCAAGTACAAGAAGTGCTTTTAGTCGTCAGGGTTGCAGCTCCCTTACCGGCGACGGGTGGCGAAAAGTGCTCAGAAACTCTCCCATTGCATTCGCGACGGGTGAGAAGGCCGTAAGGAAAGCCGGAAGCGCGCGCGTGCAGTCTAGCCCGGCCGTGATTCAGGGGAGTCTATGCGCGGTCGTACTGAAGGAGCGACTCACGCGCACACTCTTACGGCTTGCGCACCCAAAGAGGGAACAATAGGGCAGATGCTTCGCAGCTCGTTGTAGCAATCACCTAGTGGGGTGCTTCAACGAATCTCTTATACCACATGTTAAAGCCCATGCATAAAAAAAGTAACAACAACTCTTTATTCTCGTTATTATCTCTTTGTTGTTCTCAAATGCGTTGCTTTTATGTATCTTGTGAGACGACGTCAGGTACGAAGGAGCGACCGTTTTATTGTCAACCCAGACGCGCGAGCCAGCAACCGAACAAGCAGCGAGCCGCTACGATGATGATGATCACGGTGCTTTGTATGCGCAGGTGAAAGTGAAAATGATGAGCAACACAATCAGCGCTCACACTATTTCCCCCCTACACGAAAGCGGTCTGCAAGACGTTCATTTAGTAAGTGTATGAGCGCTGGATATAAGGTTTCAGGCGAGACACATGGACGATCTCGGTCCCGCGACGACGGCGATCAGAAGCCGAAGTAACCGGCGCGACGCGATAATTTACGGCCGATGTTCGTTCAAGCACGGTGTAAGGACCCAGGTATCTGTGAATGAATTTTTCACAGAGGCCGGGTGTGCGAACAGGTGTCCAGAGGAGCACTTCGTCGCCTGGGTAGAATGACACAACTCGACGTGTCGCATCACAACGAACTTTTCGCTGGGCCTGAATGGTAGAGGTGTTGGCCCGGGCGATTGTGCGGCAGTGGTTGACACGGGCAGCGAATTCTTCCGGAAGGGACGCAGATGGGACAGAAGGCGTGGACAAAAAGCTGGTGTCTAGAACAAAAGATGGTGCACGGCCATACACAAGAAAAAACGGGCTGTAAGTTGTAGTGCGTTGTATGGCAGTGTTATAGGCAAACGTGACGAAAGGTAGTATTGTGTCCCAGTTCTTGTGATCGGGTTGGACATACATAGAGATCATGTCTGACAAAGTTCTATGAAAACGCTCAGTAAGACCATTGGTTTGCGGATGATATGCCGAGGTGGTCTTATGGATTGTGTCAGAGGCCTGTAAAACTGCAGCGAGCACACGAGAAAGAAATGTCTTGCCACGGTCACTCAGGAGAACACGAGGGGCGCCGTGGCGCAGGATAATGGCACGCAGAACAAAGTCGGCTACTTCGCTGGCAGCTCCAGTAGGAAGAGCTGCCGTCTCAGCGTAGCGAGTAAGATGGTCTACGGCAGTAACAATCCAGCGGTGACCGGCGGCGGTAAGCGGAAGGGGTCCGTATAAGTCTATGCCGACGAACTCGAAGGGAGCGGATGGGCACGGGAGAGGCTGTAGAGGGCCGGCGGGAAGAGATGTCGAACGTTTTCGGTGCTGACATGATGAACAGGAAGTGACGTACCTGGAAACACTAGTGGAGAGGCCAGGCCAGAAGCAGCGAGTCTTAATGCGATCGTAGGTTTTATGAAAACCCAAGTGGCCAGCCGTCGGGTCGTCATGAAAGGCTTCTAAGACTCGGAGTCGAAGTGAGCGAGGTATGACCGGGACCCATCGGCTACCGAGAGGATGGTAAGTTTGTCGAAGTAGCATTCCGTCATGAAGTTTGAAACGCGTGAGTTGTCGTCGCAAGCGGCTGTTGGGAGCACGAGATGAGCCGGTGAGCCGATCGATGATTGTACGGCAGTATGTGTCTGCACGTTGGAGCGAGGTGAGGTCTGCGGATTGAAGGAAGTCATCCGGTGCAGTGGGCTCGATGGGACTAAGACTGGTCATCTGCGTGGTCTCTTGGCTGGGAGGTGCTGCGCAGCAGGTAGATGCGTCATGATTTTGCAACAGCGGACAGCGTGACAAAGCGTCGGCATCTTGGTGTTTGCGGCCCGACCGGTATGTGACACTGTAGTCATACTCCTGCAGTCGGAGCACCTCCCAGCCAAGAGACCACGAACGAGCGAACGAGCGAAACGGTTGGTGCGGGCGCATTTGAAGCCCTCAAGAGGCGCCGGTCGCGACTTGAGTGCTGCAGTCGGCGCGAACCGTTTTCGCTGACGACCAAAATGCATGTGTTTTAACATGCTTTCTCGGAGGCGGTCTTTCTGAAAGGCCTGCAGGTTGTACCTTGAGCAGCAATAACTCGCTGACGTCGCCACCCCTTGCATTGTACAGTCATGGCTTCGGCTGGTGAAACAGACGGCGACGATAAGTCCTCGCAGTTCAAGTTCCACAAGTCTGAAGGCAAGAAGCTTCTGAAGCAAGGGAATGTCCAGGGAGCTCTACAGGCTTTCGAAAGAGCTGCCGAGCATCAGGCCGATGACCGCCTCCAGGCTAAGATAGAGAAGATGCGAGAGTTTTTGAAAAGTGAGCAAGCCCAAGAAGCTAGTGATAGTGACATGGTTGAAATCGGCAATGGTTTCTACCTGTGTCAAGCCATCGAGCGAAGACTTTATACTTACCAGAGGACCGGCTTGCTATGGATGTGGGACCTGTACCTCAAGAAACGTGGGGGTGTGCTTGGCGACGACATGGGCTTAGGCAAAACTATTCAAGTCATCGCCTTCCTTTCAGGCATGTTTGACAGTGAAATGATTAAGAGTGTCTTGATCATTATGCCTGTATCTCTAATTGCCAACATGGGGGAATCGTCGATGTACGAGGCGTCGTCTGCGGTGTCGTCGACTGAGAGCAGCTATGGCACGAATGCTCCTGCCGAAGAAGAAAGCCGATCGAAGCTGCCATTGATAATTCTAGTGGCTCTTCTTCTCCTTCTGCTCCTCGGCGTGGTTTTCTTTATGATGTCAAAAGAATCATCTAGTGACGCGACGGAGGCTACAGCCAAAAGCGATGACGATGGACATTACCACGGAGGGGGTTGCACCGTGAAAACCCCATCGACCCCTGCGGCGACAACCAAGAAGGCCAATGTTACTGTTTCAGCTACTACAGCACAGACTTCCCCACCGAAGTTTGTCCTGAAAATCATTGTACTAACCTGCACCTACGGCATGACTCATCAATATGTTTTTAAATATGTATTTGAATGTTATCTCCCCCCTATACTGATTGCCCAACACGAGCATTGTAGGTATTCAAATACGTATATAAATTCTATTCATTCCCGCTTGATATCCACTTTGTTTGGACAATCTTGTAGCGACGTAAAATTTTGTCCATTCTTGAATATACTTCTCACATTTTCGAGGAGGTTATTCACACAATGACTACGAGCACTACAGCGTTCTTCTCATTTTTTTGTGGTTGCTAGCAGGTGGGGGCTAGTCTTTCAAACTCGTCAAGTTTGTCCATTGGAATATGGTCGTTTCTGTCCTCGCTGCTTTGACCGACTCGTCTACGCGCAATATGTGGTGAAATGCAAAAAGCGCATTGCTCGTGTTCCTTCTTGCGTCAACTGCGAAAAAGTGGTTCAGTGCTTACAACTGAGCACTTTAAAACGCCTTTCTAAAGAAGCATAAACATGGCGTCTTGACGTCCAAGGTCTTCAAGACGTAGAGTTCTGAGTTATGGTTTAAGGTGGTTTTCTTTCTTTTTCAGTTTTATAGCAATAGATCAGTGATATGCACATTAAAAACGACAATGGACGTAACTGCTCGTTATTCTAAAATTGACTACGTAAACAATACAACTCCTGATTATACAGATTTCCGGAGGTACTATGGCGAAGACCACGACCCGTAAGTTTGAGCAATGGCTTTATTTAGATATATGGGGCTAAGTTCAATGATTCTCACGCAGGCCATACGAAGACCTACTAGGAACCTTTATGAACATGGACAAGACTAGGAAAGATCCACCATATAACGGAATGCTCGTGACCTTGCAGCAAGGTAATTGAATTAGGAAGTCAGAGAAAAAACCTTCTTTTAAATTGGTCCAATTACGCAATTTCATGCAATTTTCACAACTACATGCTAATCGACAGTGTATTTACTCACGCTTGTTTATCATACTTTTCGCCCACTTTGGAGATCTGTATGACAAGTGGTTACAGAATTTTGAAGCTAGATAAAATATGTTTAATACGATTATTGCTGTCATGTAGCGTCGTTAACGACATTGCTACTACCAATATAAAAAAGGAACCTGTGTGCGAGGCAAAATTCAAATAATTATGAAACAGCTTGAGCCTCAACATTCCGACAATGAAAATATATGAATGAGTTTTTACTGAATCGAGCTCATTGCAGAAGTATCGACGCATCTTTGATCGATTACTGACCTTTGTGCACTATGGTTGGGATTTCATCGTCGTATTGGACCAGCAAAAGTGATATTGGACAACGTATTTTGCATTCTCTGATCAAATTTTCTTGTATGTTCCGCCTAAAATTTAGAACCTTGTGGTATGAAAAGTGATTTTGCAGATGAAATACATACAAAGAAAGAAACAAACTGACATCAGAATCGTCTCAGTCAGACACTCACTCACCGAATATTTGATAATGTACTCCTTCCCAACAGCAGCAAGCGCACATGTTCATGTGTAAAAGATAATCAAAACCATGTTAACAACACAAATCTGCGTACACACTTTTCTCAGCATATGTGGGCTCTGAGATATCGAGGTTAAATTATTGTGACTCACAGCACTGCACATGCAAGATAGACACGACTTTTACAAATGCCCTTGCCTGTGGAATGTGCACGCGCTGCTCACTGTGTAAATGGGTCTAAGAAACAGAAAACGTGACAGCAATTATGTTTTTTACTACTGACTGGCGATGTCTAAGACGACAGTCTCAGATAAGAGATGAAGACTTCACACATCAATATTCGGTGGTATAACTATTTTCACGTTGAAATGAAACCTTTTATCCGGGTATAATACATGATGAACCACCCAGAACCACGCGAAATTTCTGCAGACATTAAGCAGTAAACAGTTTCCCCTCAAGGACGAAGGAAGAGCATATCACCACAAGGAATTACCATGTTGTATGAAGAAAGGCTTGCAGCTAACTTATTTGAATCAACTCTTGCACATATATGCAAAAACGCTGGTTTAAGCAAATAGGGTCATTCCCAGGAGTGAAGGTACTTAGGTGCCGTGCCTCATCCTAAATTAAGAAAACGGTGAGAGCACAGCACATATATGAACCGTATACTGATGTCTTTCGCCATCACGCGCTTAGAAGCAAAGTTCGCAAAGAGCTGCTCGAATGACGCTATCAACGACGTTCATGTTCCTTTGTCTGACAAAAGACAAGCTGGGCGTTTCCTTTTAAGTCCTTTACCGAACACGGCCACTGCAGCATACAGTGACCTTCATACTTTCTCAAACTTGAACCCAAACTGCCGCCATGTGCGCTTTCTCGTTGTAGCCGTTTCTGTCTAGTCTCCATCGGTTTGTTTTGTTTTACTTTTTCAGGAAGAAAAAATTTTAGTTGTCTTCGTGTCCAGGAGTGTTGAAGTGCATCTTCGTCGTCTACTGCTGCTGCTGACTGCCACTGTCGTGGCCAGGGGCATAGCTAGGGCGTGGCACATCAGGCATGCGCACGCCTTGAAATTTCTTTCAGCGTAGCGTTGGAAGCAAAAAAATGGTCGTTTCAAAATGATTCCTCTCCCAAAATTAAGGTGGTGCTTCCCTCCCCCTGAAAAAAAATTCTAGCTGCATGACTGGTAATGGCGATCAAATTTGTTGCGTGGAAAAGAGAAGCCGTCTTGTCTCCCTCATGACCGCCTGAGCACTCCCAGAGCAGCGAGAGCGAGCGAACGGCATGCGTTGACTATGGAAATGCTCTCTCGTCAACGTGAGCACATGAGCCAATGCGCCGTAGCCCAATTTAGCGGCCACCTCGTACTTATAGGCCTTACAACTTGACCTGTAATGTAGTGCCATAGATAGGTTTCTTTTGTTCCTAGCGAAAAATTTGCCACTTGCGTGTCAACTAAAGGTGTTCTACGTCCTGCGACCTTCCCCAGTTCTAAAAGTTAGAGATACTAAAATCCACTTCCTCAATCCTTCGATCCTCCCCAGTTTTTTTTGCTGGAGCTGGATTGACGCGGTAGGCAGATTCAGCGCAGCGGCTGTGCAGACCGTCTCAAACAGGGGGCGTGGCTGACAGTAGACAGTGTGCGATAAGCCAGGAGTGGAGGGTTTTATTCCGCAGCACTTTATGAGGTTAAGTAATATTTAGTTTTTTCTCAGCGGTCTTTATTCGTTGCCATCATATACCGCTTATATATATATATATATATATATATATATATATAGTCACCAGAAGAAGCGAACGAGCAAACGAAAAACGATGCTTTATTGCCAACGTTATGGCCGGGGACCGGCCTTCGTCAGGGCATACGTCTTCCCTGACGAAGGCCAGTCCCCGGCCGTAACGTTGGCAATAAAGCATCGTTTTTCGTTTGCTTGTTCGCTTCTTCTGGTGACTTATAACTCGACCCGAATCGAGGAAGACTTTCAAGAAATATATATATATATATATATATATATATATATATATATATATTTAATAAGGGAAAGAAGTGTATACCTAAGGGCTCGTTTTTCCGTGTTTTAACACAATAATAATGAGATCTAACAGACAGTAATGCCAAGGAATGTACAGGGGAAGTTATTAAAACCCATAGAATGTAAATAAGAGCAAAGAAAAGTGGATGAAAAAATTACCAACTGTGAGCAGGAATCGAATCTACGAAGGTCGTAGGTTCGAAGCGAGATCGCTTGTCGTCAGGCGTCCTACATGCGTTTGGATCTCGTTTACGTGGATCTCGTTTACGTGCTGACAGGTGGTCAAGGTATGTGGACAGACTTCGGTTTGTTTCACAGAACAGATCGTCTGAGGGCCCGCATTTGCCGTTTTTGGCGACGCTCTGTATGAGGAATTAGGTGGGCGGAGGATCGTTTGGCGTCAGGATCCTCAAAGGTGCTGGTGACGTCGCTTCGATTTCTTGTCGAACGACTCTCGTAATGTCAGCACAGGGTGGATATGGCTAGCTCTCGAAACGGAGGTCCTCAGAAGTTGACGTTGCAGCGGTGTTAAGAAGACGAGTGAAGCGGTGGGAATAGCGAAGGCTTTCAGGCTCTTTAAAGCGTCAGCACTGCTTAATGACATCTTGAACTGCCAAACAGCCTTTAAATTGGCAGCAGTGGTTGCGGTCGTGAACAAGTCACTAATCTGCTGCTACTTTCGTCACAGAACAGTTTATGCGGAACTGTTTACGAGCCGAAGCAAAGAAAAGATATCGTCACTGCACGTGTATTGCCAGCGGACCGTTTCGTCACAACAGTGATTGGGGCTGTGGTGTGCTGCATCTGCCCTCTACCGGCCAAGTTCCCGCATATAAGCAAGCATCGCTGGCGCTGAATCACAATTGGCAGCAGCGGTAGCGGTCGCGAACAAGTCACTAATCTACTGCTATTTTTGTCACAGGTTGGTTTGATTTATTCACCCAACTATACTTCTTCTTTTGTTCCGTGAATATCGTTGCCGCTGTTGCCCAATCGCGTGCTGTTGTACAGAATGCCGATGAACGCCGAGTTGGCAAAAGAAATTGAGTGTTTACGCGCTGAGGTCGCGGCGATGCGCAACAGCCTTAGTATGGTCAACGAGCTTGTCGAGAGTGTTAAGAAGCTGAATTCTGACCTCGATGCTGAAAACAAGGCTTTGAAAGTTCAAAATAAGCAACTGATATGAAGGGTTTCTGAGCTTGAACAGTACACCCGCCTGAATAATGTAAAAATAAAAGGCGTCCCTGCAACAAAAGGTGAAAGCTGTCTGGCAGTTGTTCAGTCAATGGGTGATGCAAGATTGCACCTGAGGATCTTGATACTGTGCATCGTATGCCAGCCAAAAAAGACACGATCGTTATCGTGCGCTTCTGCTCCCGAAAAAAAAATGGCAGCATATCCACGAAGTGAATGATGGAAAGTGGGGCGAAGCATTCGTCCACACATTCGTTCTTGCTTACGTCCGTCCCTGCGTTCGTACATGCATCCGCCCCTGAGTCCGTTCATGCGTTCATCCTTGCATCTATCTGTCTGTGTGTCCGTTCGTCAATCTATTCAACTGTCCAAATTCATCATCTCACATCTTTTCATCTTATATTCCCCATACAGAAGCACCGCCATCCAGCAGACATTTCAAGGACTAAACGAGAGGTGGCACATGCATACTTCCTTACGGCTTGCACTTCGGGTCTACTTACAGAAGCACTGCCATCCAGTGGACATTCCAAGCACTAACCGAGAGGTGGCACATGCACAATTTCTTACGGCTTGCGCTTCGGGTCTACTTCCCACCTTTAACCACCTCGAGTTCATGGTATATACTAGTTAACTGTATTCAATTCACTGCTGCCCAACGCTCGCTAAACCTTTCCAAAACCAAGGAGGTTACGCCCAGCGAGTATAACGTAGCAACCTTTTTCTGTCAGACAGTGCTCAATGTACATGCCAATGGCTGCTAATGCGAAATGAGAGACAGGAGAATTCGGCTTTTACTTTCTTACGGCTTGCGCTTCGTATTCACTTCCCACCTTTAACCACCTCGAGTTCATTCATGGTATATACTAGTTCATTGTATTCATGGCACTACGGCTCAACGCTTGCTAAACCTTTCTGAAAGTAAGGAGGTTACACCCAGCGAGTATAACGTAGCAATTTTTTCTTGTCAGATAGTGCTCAATGTACATGCCAATGGCTGCTAATGGGAATCACAGCGCGCGTGTTAATTAAAAGCCGAATGCTCCTGTCTCTTGTTGCCCATTAGCAGCCATTGGCATGTACACTGGGCACTATTTTTTATTGTTCAACAACGCACAGAAGAAACTTCTCACCAGCACGACCATGGAGGTGAATATGTTATACTTG